TCCAGTGAGAGTGAGTGAAAAAGAGGCCAATGACACCCGTCACACCCCTGGATCCAACTGTACCTGAGACACAACCTTGGGCCACTAAGGACTCAGGCCCACAAAGCAATAATTCATCTTGTCGCTTAACATGGTGTGAGGAGGTGGAATTCATCCCTCTTGCCAATGAATAAGGATGCAGTGGGCACAGTGTGGCTCAATGCTGGTTCTCTCACTTCTCTATAAAAGTGACCACTGCCCACTAACCCATCAACGGTTGGCAATACGTCAACATTGCTGGCTCCAGTCACCCATTTCCTCACCACCCTTCATATTTCACATATCTACTGCCTAGACCGTGCACCTACTGTTCCCAATACCCGGATGCAGAATTACATCTTTCCAAAGGGCCTCTCTTTAAGCAAGCCCCTTACTCTGCAAATGACTGCCCGTTTGCTACTGGTGGCAGGAACTACCACAAGAATTAACAGCTTACAGGCCAGGCAAATTGCCTTCCTATTTATTTTTTTAATTTTAAATATCCTATTTTCAAAGTTAGTGAATACTGCCCTTTAAAAAAAGGACCCTTGCTTCCCATTCTATTGAGTTTTATGCTCAAAGTGACTTCATAGAATTTCTCTCATTCCTTCTAGATAGCCTGTTAAGAGTTGGGTAAGAAAGCAATTACTACACCTTTTAGGTAAGAAAACTGAGGCCCAAAGAGGTGTGGCAATTTGACTCAGTAGCAATTATCAGATCAAGAGTGGGATTGGAATTCCTTCCACCTCAGCCTAGCTTGAGAGGCATCCAATATGCTCTAATTTGGCAGGCCACGATTATAAATATCCACCTCCCAACTCCCTACTGTACCCAACCCCTGGTCAATTTGGCCAGTTAAGCCCCATCAGATTAGGTTACCAGATAAAACACAGTATGCCCAATTAAATTTGAATTTGTTTAGTATAATCATGACTCAAATATTGCATGGAACATACTAAACAAATTATTCATTGTTTATATGAATAACGGATTATTACTGTCTATTCCAATTTGTGCATCCTATAGTTTTATTTCCTAAATGTAACAATGCTACATCATATGGTCATGAGATCAGAAAAGTGGCGCTAGTTGTGATTTCTTTGGAAAGTCTTTTATTTCATGGATCCTTCTATAACACCACAATGCAAGGCAGAGCGTAATTCTAATATTTGATGGTAGGGTAAGTTTTGGTGTCATTTGACATTATGGCCAGGATCCAGGAATAATTCTTCATTCTGACCCTAGTACGCATCCCTCTTTCCAAGAGCTTTCTGGAGGGTCTATTTGGACAAGAAACAGTGGCAAAAGGGGATTCAAAATGCTCTTTTATTATAGACAAGGGTAGTGGCCTTCCCCAGTAGGAAATAACAGCCCAAAGATCTATTAATCTCAATCAGATTAGCAGCCTGTTCGTTCTTGGGATGGTGGAAAGGGCCCAGGAAGGGGCCAGACAACAGTGGAAGTTGGAGTATGGGGAGAGTCTGGCTGAGTGTTAGCCTTTGATGAGGTATCCAGTCTAGATTGGAGGAACTTGGTCAGTAGTCTCTTTAGAAACCAGAACTAAGAACATGCAAATTTGGAAGCTATGGGGTAAGCCAAGGTAGACCCCACAACTGGGAAGGAACATGTCAGGCCTCAAAGGGAGAAGGATACACATGGTATGCAGAGACACGCAGAAACAGGGCACCTGGTCTTCTCGATTCCACTTCTCCAGTTCTTGATTACAACCAAATTGAAAGTTGCATTTTATCTTCTGAGAACGTTGAATAAATTCCCCCTTTGTTTTTAAGCTAGCCCGGGAAGTCTCTGTTGCTTACACTCATTCTGTCCCTTCCTTTACTAAGAAAAACAACCAAAGAAAGAAGCAAGGTCTCTGTTCAGTTCATTGCAATTTATTTAATTTAAAAATAAAAACAGAAACAAAAAACAAAACAAAACAAAAATCAGTTTCCCATGAAAATACAAACACGTTGGGTAGTTATCCAGCTTTTTTTTCTTTTTTCCCTGTAGGCTGTTCTGGGCTCGAACCAATCAAATGAGCTAAAACTAATTTTGATTGGAGCCGTAAAGCATGTCGCACCAATTAAATTACACCAATATATTATTATAATACCTTTGAAATGCCTTTCAGACCAATAAATTAAAGAAGACAAATTCAAATAAAAAAGTCAACTTTTTATTACCAAAAAAAATAAAAATTAAATAAAAGTCACAACATGAATTTTTTAAAAAAATGTGCAGTCAAGTTTCTCTCTCTCTATCTCTTTTTTTTTCTTCTAGGAATGATACCATGCCAGTAAATCCCTATAGAACATTTCCAGTTTGGCAACAAGCAGTCAGTTGATCATTCACATTTGTACTCAAGACAGCAGGCCTGGGCAAAACTGCCTGAATTTCACCCTGAAAAGTGCCCCACATCATCTAAAGAAGCAGCACCTGGTAACAGGGATGGAAATTCAGAGGGTACTTAGCATTTTCATTTGGCCTGGGGTCTTGAAGCACTGCCTGAAAACTGATCATGCCTTGAAATTTACCTGTAAAAAGAAGTATAATTCTACCCCTTTGGCAGATGTGTAAACTAAGACGCAGAGATGCCCATCAGATGCAAGGAAAGGACCAGCTGACATTGAATCTCCTGTTCTGTCCACCAGGTCATAAAATGTCTCTCACTTGTAATTCCATGGAACTAAATAACTGGAATGGGCTGGTAGGGATGATAGGACTTACTTTTGAAGCAGGAGAGCTGCTTTGAAAGGGATTTCCCCACTAATCCAAGTTTTTCCTTGAAAGGATAGTCACATCATATCTAGAATCAGAGGATGTCAGCCGAGAGTCAGAACTGAGCAGGGTCTAAGACAGCAGTTCTCAACCTGTGGGTTGCGACCCCTTTTTAACAATGAAAATACATTGCGAGATTAGAAAGGTTGAGAACCACTGGTCTAAGAGACCAGCTAATCCACCCCTTCGTCGTTCCCGGAAAGGAAAATTTGGCTCCCAACACAATGTAGGTGCCTAAGGCCACCTGAGACTTAACTCAGTTTCTACTTCCGAGGGGAGGAGGTTCTCTGCCACAATCCCTGGTCTAAGTTTATGGACAAAAGGGAACATACAAGTGAAGTGTTCGGGGGGAGTAGAATGGTTTTCCTTAATAGCATCACCTTTTCCAAACAATAAGAATAATGGAAAACACTAAACAGACCCAGTCACCTGGCAAAAGGAAACTACATCAACCAGTAGGCAGGTGTGATACCTAAGCCACACTGACAGCCGCTGACATGGCCAGCTGCCCTGCATGAGGGGCCAGCAGGGTGGCAGTATCAGCTGCTGGGAAAAGATTGCATAAAATGAGGCAAGTGATGAGCTCAGAGGTTGCAGCTGGCCCTCCATGCACCACAGCCCCCACACACAATTTGCTATCTACAGATTTTTTTTTTTCCCTTTTAACCTCTAGTGGAGTTCAGGAAGGAGGTGGAATTGAATGAAAGGAAGCTGGGCAGCTTCCCATAATACACTGCTCAGCTCAACCTGAAGGAATGCATAGGCCAAAACATGAGAGCTGACCTCATGAGAAGAAAGGGCAATTTCATTCAATTACTGTTCCTAGTGTCGGAAGGTGAATTCTTTCTCATCTCCCTTTGAACACTGTGAGTTTTCCCAAAGATAAACCCAACGCCATGCCTCCTTTCTATCTAAGTGGCCATCAGAGGGTCCACTTTGAAATAACGATTTCAATTTGCCTAGGCCATCAGAATCTGAAGTCATCCCCTAAAGATCAGTAATTCCAAGCCTCGTACTCTGAAGGTGTCTCATTGTGAGGGTGACATCTCTTCACCTACAATCTGAGTATTTAGAAGTTACATACCTGGCTTTTTTACTTAAGGTAAGAGTCCTGCCACACTTTTCTGCCTCCTCCAGAACCATCAGATGACTTCTAAGGGAATGTTCCCTTTCCCATATGTTTCATTCCCAACCCACTTTCTCTTTCAATACCTTATTCATTTAAATGAATGAAACTTTCTTTTTTCCGCCCAAAGCCCAGGAGTTCATGTCTAAGTTCAAAACCGTGACATAGAATACTTGCATTGGGGAGGAAAAGCATCTTCTCTTCTCTTCTCTGACTTTCTTTCCCTCATTCTAATATACCACCTACACACTAACTTCCTAGAAGCAAGCCTGTCTACCTCTGAAGATGCTATACTAGGAGGACAGGGAAACCATGTGCTGTCAGTGAACAGGGCCGGTGGTTGAGCTAGGTGTTCCTTTGGAAACTATGGACAGTGTCACATCCAATCCAGAGCAATTTATGCAGGTGGGAACCCAAGAGGCAGCATTCCAGTTAATGGTGAGACCCTAAAAACATCAATTTCCATTCATTTGTGCAAAGACCACAGAGGGTCTTGTGCTCTTATCATACATGATAGTTGTGACCTCTAACACCATCATCTCTTCCCCTGTCTATCCTGGAAAGGTTGCGTTGAAGAGCAGAGCAACCATCAGGAAAGAGACAAACAGCAAGAACCTGAAAAATCACCATGGCAGACTCTATGTCCTTAGCAGATTTCAAAGCACTCTCTCTCTTAACCAATGCCCCATCTTCCATTCAAGGTAGAGTAGCAAATTAACAAAGGCTGCCCAGTGGCATGAGAGAGACCCCACAGGATGCCTTAATCTAATTCCTGGGGTTGGGCCAGGTCAAGGATGATAAACACATGGCATTAGTACTACTGCTTCCCTTCCCCTGCCTTTGGCAGCCATTACTAGTCGATCACAGCACTCTTTCTCCATGTGCCTAAGGTGATTCAAACCAGCACAACTGCCAGCCACTATCAATGGATCATTCAAGTTCAGGGTTCTGAAATCTCCTTGCCAGCCTATACAATCAGATCAAACTTGCTAACATGAGGAGAAAAGGAGCAAGCTCTCTGGAAAAACCCAAAGCAGATGGCCCCAGTCTCTCCTGACCATCCCCCAGAAGCATCCAGATGATGTCTAGGGAAATGCTCTCTCTCTGCATCTGCTTCCTCACCACCAAGTCAACACCACCTTCCCCAGACAGTTGGTCCTCTTGGAGGTGCCATAAGGCAAATGCCAAGTAGGACCCAAATTCTGACTGGCAGTTGGTGGGACTGGCAGAGATCCCACTTCTCCCTTTTAGGTGGTGGCTCAAGGCTGCACTCGAGATGGTGCCACTGCTTTTTCAGGCTATTATGGCCAGCAAAGAGGTAAGCAGCCCATGAGCCCAAATCTTGCTCCCCTTCCTCCCTCGCACCCCCCACCCGCCCCTGCACCCTGGCACGCTAGTTGAGCTTGCTACAGATCTCTAGCGCTTGCTTATAGACCTGAGTCACATCATCCATGTCCGCGAGAAGGGAGAAGCTGCTGTCTGCCAGCCGATTCCGATATCGCTTCAGGTACTGGGGCCGGGGCCGGTTCTGGAGCCCCTCAAAGTCCTGGATCTGGAGGAAGTTTTCAGCAGAGACACAGCTGCGGATGCGCTGGCGAGCAGGGCGATTCTCCTGCAAATCCAGCAAGTCGAAAGAATCGCTGGACAGGATGCTGTCATCACTGATAACGCTGGAAGGACGGCTGTAGCTCCGGGAGAGGCCATCGGCGGAGACACCGGGCTCGGACAAGGATTCCAGTGTGGGCATTTCAGGGCTGGCGAGAGCCGGGTCCATGGCACCCGCTGAGTACTTGCTGCTGTGTTTCAAGATGCCCTTCCTTCGGCAGGAGAGGCTGTGGGAAGTCACCCTGGCTGGGTCCGGGGGGCTGGGGGAAGGGAGGCCGCTACCCATCACATCGTTACTGTCCAATAGCTCCGAAGACTCGCTGCGCTCTGGGGACGAGTAGTAACCGGATTCTCTCTGCTGAGTCTTTTTCAAGATGCCTTTCTTGGGCATGGTGGCCGACTGTTTGGGGCTGAGATTCCCAGGCACGTCTGCCTCGGGGGAGCTTGGGAGGGGCAGGCCAGTCCGACACAAGTCCTGCTCCATCTTGAAAGCAGAGGGTAAGGTGGACGCAGCGACGCCTTCGATGAAGCCGGTACTGTGTGAGCGATGCTCACTGTTGCTTCTCTTCTTCAGGATCCCCTTGGGCCTCTTGGAACTCACCTTGGATGGGCTTTCGGGCACCGAGTCCTGGCCAGACTGGGCAAAGTCGTTCTCTTTCTTGGACTTCTTCAGGGATCGCTGCCGCTCCAGCATGACCTCCGAGGCCCCGGGTTTGGCCAGGCCTTTCATTTTGGCTTCGGCCTCAGCCTGTAGTCCAGTCGAACGGTGGTGCCAGTCAATGATCCGAGCCAGAAGCGGGGACTCGGAGTCGTGGAGGGTATCGCAGTCACAGACGCTGCTCTTATAGCCCCAATTCACCCACCAGTGGTTGGCAATGTCCTCAATGGTGGCCCGGCGGTCAGGGTTCACCATTAGCATCCACCGAATGAGTCCTCGAGCATCTGGGGGACAAGAGACAAAAAGAATCAGGCATTCGTTACACAAGAAATTTTGGCTTTGTGACACAGGTGACCCTTCAGGTGTGGCTTAAGAAACACAGTCACTTCAGGTAGAATCCGCTGGGAGCCCTGGTCCAGCCACACTGAACAGCAGGAACCAGAGCCTTTCAGACGGTCTACTCAAAGCATAACGAAGGCACAGTTGGCAAAACCGTGGCATAACCCACAGGCCAGTGCGCCATCTCCTCCTGGCATGAGCTCCCATATGAGTGGAGGAATGTCACAGAACTACTGAGCGTTGTAGAATGTGGAAGGTCAGGTAACCAAGAAAGAATCCAGGCCCATCTCTGAGCAGGGTCACACCGGTTCCTTTGAGGGATATCATTTTACCAAAATGGAAAACAAGTGTAGATCACCCTGGCTTCTTTATTCCCCCAAAGTAGGCCTGTGTAAACATGCAGTGCTGAGGTCCCTGGGAAGATGTATCTATAGACAGAGCAGAGGTAGAAGCATTCACCTGGCACACCTAGGCAGTGAGAGCGGCCATCTTCAAAGCCAGTCTCATGCCAAGGTCCTTGCCAGGCTCCAAGACCCACACCCAGTGAGCTCCCCTTCTTCCCCTCTCTGAGCTGTATCCCACTGAGCTTTCCGGTCAGAGAGCTGATTTCTGTCTGCTACCAACTCAGTCTGTCTGAAAAACTCTACTTCCCAGTTTCTGTTACCTACAAATTAGGGGAAAGCCCCAAAGGGATACTGAGGAGGCTGGAGGAACCAACTGCCTGTCACTGTTTAAAAACTGACTTTTAAGATCAAATTGTTCTCCGCCAGTCAAGGTGAATTGTATTCTGGGAAGCTGCCACCTCTGCTCGGCTGCTTATGTGAGCTAATGAGTAACTGGCAAAGGCCTGGCGACAGAGAACGGGGTGAGCTACACCCCTAAAAACAACAAGATGATCATTCAGTCAGTCACTCAATAAATAGCTCTTGAACCCCTACCATGGGCCAGGAATTGCACTGGCACCATTTAGCTGGCAAGGCAAACAAAATCATAGCGGTCACCCTGAAATTTCACAAAAATATGCTGGCTTACTGAAAAAAATAAAGATGCACCTCTCTCTATGAACACATATACAGCAATTGATCCTCATGCCCACAGATTCTATATTTGCAAATTTGCCTCCTCACTAAGATGTACTTGTAACCCCCAAACCAATACTCTCAGCTTTTTTGCAGTCATTTTTGTCCATGCACAGAGCAGCAAAAAATCTGAGTCACCGCAACACGCATGTGTATTCGCAGCTGAAGTCAAACGAAGCAGCATTCTGCCTCCCCCATTGAGCTCTCATGAGATACACAAGCGTCCTCTCTACTCAGTCCATTTAGTTCTGTGTCTGTCATATTTGGGGATTTTTTTTTATGATTTTGCTATTTAAAAGGATCCTCCACCCCCACCAAAAAAGTGCTAAAGCACTATCTAGTGTCCCTAAAAATAAGAAGGCTTGATAAGCCTTATGGAGAAGATGTGTGTGTCAGATCGGCTGTGTTCAGGCATGAGTTACAGTGCCGAGTTTGATGTCCATGAATCCAGAATGTATATTCCATAAGGTGTCTTTAAACACAACACACAAAAAAACATGTTATGTATTCATCAGCTGACAACAATACTGTGGCCAGAGACTCTCTGGAACCTAAACCCGTATTTTCCCTAGGAGCAATGATTCAGTAATTCAGGGTTTGCAGCAACTTTAAGGAACATAACTACAGTGAATAATGAGACTCAACTCTGTGTGTGTGTGTGTGTATACACAGATAGCAAATATGATATTTAAATGCAGTGCCTGTGTTAACTTCATTTGTTAACAAAAACAGCCAATGATAAAAATGGCCACCTGCCCACATTCTCTGTACAGGCATAACACTTCCCCCAAGAGATGGAGCTCACGACTTTGGTTGCTTTGGCCAGCGGAACACAGCAGAAGTGACAGTATCTTGCAAGCACAGACACATCCAGGAAGCCTGGTGGCTTCTTTTTCCTTCCTAGAACCCTGAGCTGCTGTGGAAGAAGTCCAGGCTCTGTCCTGGAACCACATGGTCAGGAGGCATGTCACAGAGATTGTGCCCACACGGAAAAGGGCCAAGGGGCCCAACATGCACCCCTCACAACCACCCTGGGCATCATGTGATTGTAAACGTAGGAAGAACAGCCCTTCCTAACTCACAGAATCCAGAGGTAAGGTTTCATGGCTATATGAAACACAGTTTGTTCTGGGGGAATGGGGTAGACCTGTTACCCGGCAGTAGATAATAACAGGGAGCCTGTGAGCCGTACTTCAGGCTAGGAACACAGCAGTGAAAAAGGAAGCAGGGGAACACCGCAGAAGTGACCGTATCTATCTCCCGAGCACAGACACTTGGCACCTGAGGTCCAGGGAGAGTGGTTTGCATGTCTATGTGGCCTGGGGGAAGGGACTTCATATGATACCTCTTCTAAAATTGTCATTTATGGTTGAGAAACTAAATCCAAAGAGATTAAGTGATGCGGCCAGGTTCACGCAGAAGCCAACGGGACCCCTCCAACATTTCCTCTGAAAATTTCCTTTGAGATGGTTTGAGTAACGCAGCCTAACAAGCCAGCTTTGCCAAGGATGCCTTTACTGGCAAGAACAAAGCGTCTGAAAACCAGAAGACTCCCTATAGACATATTAAAACAAAAGCAGTGAGTATGTGAGCGGTGTAAGCTGATCGCTCTCCCCTCAACCTCCGACCATCCACAGGGCACGCACCTGAGGGCTGGGTGGGCTCCCGGTACTCTCCGCTGCTGATCTGCCGAATGAGGTTTTTGTGATCGAAACCATCGAAGGGCATTGTTCCGTAAACGAGAGTGTAAAGCAACACGCCCAGGGCCCAGCTGTCCACCTGGAACAGAGAGACAGAACATATAGGAGCCGGGATGCAGATTCGGGGAGGCTGCAAGCAGCCACCCCTAACGCCCCCAGGAACTGAATGCAGCACCTGGTAAACAGTTCCCACCAAAGACTGACAACTGATAGTGGCGCAGCTGGGGCCCGTGACAGAGGCCAACGCTCCCAACCTATGAGAACTTCCTTCACATAGCCTGTCTTCTTTGATCTTCACTGTAACTTTTGTGAAGCAGGTCAGACCTGGATTATTTTCATCCCCATTTGACAGATGAGAATACTGTGGCCCAAGAAAGCTAACTGGTTTCCCCTGAGGCCCCGCCTTGGTGATGGGGGAAAGACTGGGATGCAGGGCCCTTTACTCCTAATCCAGAAATCAATTCCTTCCTGTATTTTCTTCAAATGGATCAGGAGATGCAAACACAAATCACAAAGAGCCAGGCGAACAACAGGCATAAACAAGGCAATAAAACCTGGGGTGTTCAACATGGAGTGTGGGGACAGAGACAAGCTGGAGAGCGCATTCAGCCCTCTTAGGCAGGCGACCTCTCCTGGGCTAATTCCTGCCAATCATAACGTGGGCCCAGTGCTGCCAGACCCTTTGTTTTTTTCCAAGAGAAGTCAGAAACCAGACTTGTATGTGGAACCTCCCAATTATTAAATGTTCATTCAATTTTTTTTATATGGAGATTAATGTGGCCAAATAAAGCAAGTTTGCTGGCCGGATCACGGGCTGCCAGCTTGTAATCTCAGAAACAGGTCATCAAAGAAGCATTCATTGTCTACAAGACACGAATACTGTCTAGTTTCTACAATTTTATAAATTAAGTCCTATGCTCCTCCCTTATATTCTTATTTTTTAAAAACTTTCTCTTTACTGCAGTTGGTAAAGAATCTTGGCATCCTTCTCTTCATCCTCCAGCCCTGCCCCCAAACACTCTCACACAGATAAATATTTGGAAGAAAACATTTCAACACACTGAGCAGCTGCTATTTAAGGATACTGAGGGGATAAATCTCTCTGTAAAGAGAACTTTAAAAAAAAAAAAAAAGAATACTCACTCATAACTTATTCATTTTCAAAATAAATTTTTCACAGAAGCATCTTACAGTGGCCCTGAAAGTTTGAGGCATGTAGAGAAATATATTTCTCATACATTAGGAGGTAAAAGATAATGTATTTCCTTAGTCAAATATACATATGCTGTTAAAAAATACATGTGAAGAAAATATTCACCACGGAATCAGGATTTTTGTCTGCTTTGATACAATAAGAAAAAGTGTCCAAATCTAAGGATATGATTACATAAATGGTATACTCATCAACAAAATTTTGCCACTAAAAATCAAGTTTTTATTAATAATGAATTTGGAAGATGTCACAATATAGTTTTAAGTTAATAAAAGGCAAAGTATAAATAATTTTATTAATTTAGCTCAATTATTTTTCAGTTGATCGCACTTATTTTTGAAATGCAGAGCTCTACAATGGAAAAAGCAAACTAAAAGGAAAGTTACAAAAATATTAAGTGGCTGTCTTTCATGAGAGGGTTCCAGGTAACATTATTTACTCTTTTAGGCTTTTCTTGATTTTCTAAATTTTCTCCCAGGTGTGTATGTTATTGCTTTTATAATCATATAAGGAAAAGTTTTCTTGGCTTGGTTTTGGGGGGTTTGTTTTTGAAGCATTTCCCAGATGCAGTTTTTGCCCTTCCTCCCTCTTTTCTCCCAACTCTTCCCTCCCCCTGTACACACCGGGCAACCTGCTCACCTCTGGCCCACGGTAAGGTCTCCCATTGACAATCTCAGGAGAAGCATAGAGTGGACTCCCACAAAACGTCTGCAAGAACTTGTCCTTCTGGTACAGGTTGGAAAGCCCAAAGTCAGCAATCTACAAAAAGAAGCAAGACCCAGGGAGACTTGTTAACATTCCAGACTGTGTCTGCAATGGATCAGTTCACACCACTCAGCATACAGAGCGGATGAGGGACCCTGACTGGGTCTGGCAGCTGGATCGCCATTTTCTCTCCAGTCCTGAGTCTTCATAAAAGGACCCCTCAGCCCATCTGGGCCAGTGTTTCCCAACAGCTGTCCTTAGCATCCATCATTAAGTCCTTCCAGTCTGCAGAATGACTTCCTTAAAGTTACTCTTTAAAGGGACTTTCTATTTTCACTTCAGTGTAGACTTGCCCCGAGAAACAACATTCACAAAATCACCAACTTGATGCTTCTGATGAACATGAAAGTGTAACACTTCAAAACGCTCCCTCTGAGGCCTACCCTCAATAACACAGTGAAAGACCCCAACCTATGCAGCTGGGAGCACCGCCTTCCTATCCATTCACATTCTGATCAGAACAGTATCATCCCTGTCTTGTGGCCTGAGATGAAATGCACTCATAGCACCAGGTTTTGAATCATCCTATTTCAGCCCCAACTCTGCCCTGAGCTACCTGCATGACACGAAGCAGACTGCTTAGCAACTCTGAGCCCAAGTTTACCCACCAGAAAATGGGAGTCCATGATCCTTCCCCTGTTTTAGCTTACAGGACCATCCGGAGAATAATATGGAAAACAAAAATCAAGATGAGACCATGAGTGCAAAAGTGCTTGATAACCTTCAAGTTCATGCAAATGTCTGACCTAACCTTGACACTGGATTGCACCCTCACTGGGACCGTTCTCTTCCCCCTTTGGTTTAAGTGTTTTATTTATAATCCTTTATGATAACACTTTTACATGTATGTGTCTGTGTACACATATACACATAGATACACGTACATATAGAGAGAGGGTGCCAAAAAATATATAGACACAATTGAAGAAAGGAAAAAACGGTATTAAATTTAGAAATCCTCAAGTCTTATTTAACTTCCACAATTATAAGAGGTACTCAAATGTGACTTACACTCATCTTTTGTTACCAGTCTATACTGAGTATTACAACTTTAACACAATCCGTTTGTTTCTTAAAATGTGTATACCTTTTTTGGCACCCTCTGTACATTTCCCTTCTCTGACAGACTCTGAGGCCCCTGAGGCAGCTGGCAAATCCACATCTTCCCCTTATCTTTGTATCATCCACTGCTCAGTACCTGCCCACACCCGAGAAACACTTGTCACTAGAACAGGCGTTATATTTTGAAAAGCACAAGATAATTAATAGATAATACAAAATGATAATCATCATAAACTTAGTTACCACTTAGTGGACGACTTCCAATGATCAGGTACTATTCTAAATACTTTAAATAAATTCTCTAATCTTATCAAAACCCTCACGTATATGACAATGTAAATATACTTCATGCCACTGAACCGGACACCTAAAAATGGTCAATTCTCTGTTACAGATATGTTACCACAATACTTTTTTCAAAACCCCACTAAACAAATGAGGAAACCAAGGTGTTTAGAGATGAGATCATTCATCTATTAGAGATGTAACCAGTCAGCACAAGAGTAAACCGCTGTCTCTAAATCTTCAAACCACTGTCCCACTCCCATGGGTCACCTGTACCTTTCACTCCAATTGGAGCAGCCTCACAAGCTGCGGCCCCATGGGTCTCTGCCATTCACCAAAGCTAATTTCTACTGGAGGCTTATAAATAGGCTGGATGATTCACGTGCCAGGACATCAGCCCAGCCTGACGGATGACACTGAGGCAGCCCCGTAGAATAAGCCTATTTTGTAAGTCATCCCTGAATGAATGGAATGTCATTGAAAGCAGCTGGCATACAACCGCCCTCAGAAAACACATTCTCAAGGCTCAGACTGCACTTAATTGCCCTGAATTCCACTTTCTTATCAAGGCCCCTGACTCGCCTGCGGGAAGTTGGTTGGAAGCTTTCCGAAGTGTGCCCCTTCCATCACAAGAGGAATGGAAGGGCCGTGCACAGGAAAACACGTTCCCTTTCTGCCCAGCAGCGTCTGCGGCGACAGAGGCGCCATAGGAGCTTGCAAATACATGCGTGTGTGAGAGGCACTCGCTACACACACACACACACTCATGCTGGGAGTGCTCGCTCCAAGTCTGGGCAGCCTGGCTTGCTCTGTAGCCGCTCTGCAGAAGTGTGTTTATGTTACGGCCCACTCCCATCCTCACAGACTGATGTTTATCAGCCTCTCCCAGTAAAACTGTCATTGCTGCTGACACAAGATTAATAGAAATCGAGATAGCCCATGTTCTTGGCACTTTAACGGAAAAGCAGTATTAATCAACACATACTCTCTCTCTCACACACAAACACACAGAGTTCTCAAACTTAAGCCATTCAAACTTGGCCTTCTATTTAAGATCGAATGCCACAAGATGCTTATGTCGACTACTGGTAAGAGAGGAAATCAATGGCTACTGGTTCTGAAAACTCTCAGTTTTCTCATCTGTAAAATGGGGTAGAGGGCGGCACCCGTGGATCAATGGGTAGGGTGCCAGCCCCATATACCGAGGGTGGTGGGTTCAAACCCGGCTCCAGCTAAACTGCAACAACAAAGAAAAGTAGCTGGGCATTGTGGCAGGCGCCTATAGTCCAAGCTACTTGGGAGGCTGAGGCAAGAGAATCGCCTAAGCCCAGGAGTTGGAAGTTGCTGTGAGCTGTGTGATGCCATGCACTCTACCAAGGGCAATAAAGTGAGACTCTGTCTCTACAAAAAATAAATAAATAAATAAAATGGGGTAGAAAGAGCATCTGTACCTACAGTGTCATGGTGAAGATTACATGACATAAAGTATGCAAAATGCTTACAACAGCAGTGACACAGTTGGAACTCAGTAAATATTAACTTCCCACCTTTAAATCCAAAGAGTTAATTAACTTCATGCTATTTGAAACAGAGTTGATCCCAACACTAGGGACTCTCAGAGTAAAGAAAGAGAGAAGTTTTAGATGCCAAACAGTCAAGAGAACGAAATAACTTTGAATTACAAAATGAAAAATTTATTACTGTCTGTATTCTCTTTCAATCCTATGGATTAAGTCTAGGAAAGGTCTCAGTTGAGCACTGAGATGTCTCTGGCATCTCCGTTACTTATCAAAGAAGCATGACTCAGGTTCATAGCCTGTGGCAATAACCAACATCAAGCCAGAATTTAATAACTCTATTTAATTTCCATTGTATTTATCTTTTTTTTTTTTTTTTTTTTTTGAGACAGAGCCTCAAGCTGTCCCCCTGGGTAGAGTGCCGTGGCATTACAGCTCACAGCAACCTCCAACTCCTGGGCTCAAGCGAGTCTCCTGCCTCCGCTTCCCAAGTAGCTGGGACCACAGGCGCCCGCCACAACGCCCGGCTATTTTTTGGTTGCAGCCGTCATTGTTGTTTTGGCGGGTCCGGGCTGGGGATTCGAACCCACCACCTTAGGTGTACGTGGCTGGCGCCTTAGCCGGTTGAGCTATAGGCGCCGAGCCCATTGTATTTATCTTTGACCTTATCTTCTCTTCATGGTAAGTGATACTGGTTTGCCATTGAAGGTGTTGTTTAGGGCTTCCTTTTCAAATAGATATTACTTTTAAAAAGTGACTTGGACTAAATAAAAACATTAAGTAAAAGCCAGGATAATTGGGAATGGCAAAATCCATGAAAAGAATGAAGGAAAAACTGAAATTTGGGAAATAATTGATTTCAAACATAATAAAACAAAAATAACTGCAACCCAGAATTCATTTGATCTAAGAAAGCCCTAAGACAGTGGTTTGCAACCTTCCTAATGCTGCAGCCCTTTAATCCAGGCCCACAGGTTGAGAACCACTGCCCTAAGAGATACCAAGTCTGCTCCTTGCTCTAAAAGTGAAGCAGCTGAAGGTTCAAGGACATAGAAGCTTTGCTGAAGGTAACAAAAAAGAGCAACAAGTACAGTGCATACAGGAGTACAGTGGAATTTTCTGGGCTACACCATCTCTATGTAAGAACATCGGCTCTTTACAAAGGCTGACTCTCCAGCAAGGAGGCAACCAGGCTTTGCTTTTAAAGCAGTGCACCCAGAATATTTTACAGACACACAGGTAAGCTTTGGAGAAAGGTATCTAGTCGGCATTTTTGTCAATTGTTTTGATTATTCCCCTGTCTGGTACTAGTTCAGACCCACCATCTGTTCTCTGTCCCTGAACTGGTAGGGTAGACTGACTAGCAGTCAGTTAAACCTTGACTCTGATGGAACATATGACCAGGGTACAAGTCAAATCTGTAAAATGTAGAACTTAGATGATTTGGCACAATAATCAAGTAAATGAGGTGAAAGCTATGTTGATTGGCTTAATGTAACCAGGTTAGATTGTATACAAAAAATAAATCGGCACATTGTACCCCACATATGCATGAATGTATTCATGATCTATGTGTATTTGACTTAATAAAAATAAATAAATAAAAAACCTTGACTCCGAAAAGGAGTCTGGAAATTCAAGGCTCATGCCCTTAATCTTTGGAGTTTTTGTTGTTATCAAGCCTTTCCAGGAGTGTGTGCCCTGCTGAATGAAAATCAGAGTTGGAAAGATAAATGAGGAAATGATTCACATTTCAAAAGGTTAAACTTACTACAACACGGATGAGCTTGACGATGCTATGCTAAGTTTAATAAGCCAGACAATACGGTATGATTCCTGATCATGAGTTCCCTAGAGTAATAAGATTCGTGGGACACAAAATAGAATGGTGGCTGACAGCAGCTTATGGGAGGAGGAAAATGGTTATTGTTCAGTGGGTCCAGAGTTTCAGCAGGGGAAGATGAAAACATTCTGGAGACAGTAGTGATGGTTGCACCACAATGTGATATGTTTAACACCCCTATAAACCTAAGACTGGTAAGTTTTAGGTGACATATACGTTACCACCATAAAAAAAGGATTAATCTCAGATTACTGGTAATAATGAGCTCACCTAGTGAAAAATGAACT